ACCCGTGAGGACGAAAAGCTCAAGAGCCCAACGATGACGATGAGAACCACCAACGGTGACGAGAACCTCCGGTTGACCCACGACGACGACCAAAAGCTCAAAACCCATCTCCGCCCATGATTTCCCTCCTTCGCCACACGATTTCCTCCTCCTCCATCGATGCACGATCTTCTTCTTCTCTTCCGACGAGCTTCCTGCGATCTTGACCGCCTCCTCTGATTTGCAGTTTTCAATTCTTGACCGCCTCCTTCACGACCGGAATCGTGACAGTCTGATTCGGAGTCACCTGTGTAGACCCCCAACCACCCATCGATAGGGGTGGGTCATGATATGAACATAATGGGATGTTTGGGTCTTAAAATTAGATTTAGAACTATTATGTAAAATTATTAAAATGCACAATATATTCTTTAAAATATTATTAGATGTTTTCAAAAATATATAACCAAACGGAGTTTCAGTTTTTTCTTATACTGAAAACAATCTCCCAATAAAACTACCAAACGCATTTTCAGAATTGATTTTTGCCTGAGATTAAAAATATTTTCATTTCCAGTTTCATACAAAAAATAAAATCATTTTAGAACAAATTCCAAACGCACCCCACATCTTTTACTTTTGTTCTTCTACTAGTTAAAAGTAAAAGCAAAAGCTCTTCCAAACAAGTTCTAAAAAGAATTGGTTAAGGCCTTTAGCTTTAATTTTGGCAAGTTACCCTCTCAATTTGTAAAGTTGTTACAATATGCCCTCTCAAACTTTAGCTGTATAAAATGGGAACCATTTTTTAACAACGATTGTGTTAAATTAGTGTCAAAAAAGCACGCTCAGCTACAAATTTTATCATTCTAATTCAAATGTAATACAAAGTTTTTGATATCTCAACTTTTAATCCCTTAATTCTAATAAAAAATTTGAGCTGATGTAATTTAATGGGGCACATTACAACAAATTTACAAGTTCGGGAACAATTTTCTAGAATTAAAAATTCAGGGAATAATTTGTTAAATCACGGTAAGTTCGGAGCAATTATGCCTCAATTGTGCCAAAAACCAAAAAAACAAAAAAACAAAAAAAATCTTCAGATAAAGGTTAGCACATGACTCTAGGCTAGTGCATCATGTGGTAGCACATGATCCTAGAATTCAAATTTTGGAGCTTCTATATTTGACAATGGCTAACGCCAAACCAGCTAGAAGCAAGCAAGGTTTGTTTTCTTTTGTTTTGTTTTTGTTTTTGTTTTTGTATTTTTGTATTTTTTTTTGTTGAGCTTAGTTTGTTTCTCCTAGTGTTATCCTGTTTTGGTTTTCTTTTGTAGTTGTATTTGTTTGTTACCAGTTTTTGGCGTTTGTATCAACATTCCCACTTGTTTTCTTTAATCAATTTCCAACTTATCGATAAAAAATAAAATGAATAAATTTTTCTAGCTTGTTCGTCCGAAAAGAAAAGACTTGTGATGATTGTGATCGATCATCAATTGAGATAACACATAATTACCATATAATGTAGGATAGTAAATCATTATGCTACAATTTGAAGTCCATACCTTGTCTCGAATTTAGCTAGTGATAAATTATATTGGTTATGTACACGGTAAAATTCTACGATGAATTTGTATTAAGGGCAATGACTAGTTTGGAGTGCATTGGAGGTAATCCGGTCACATAGAGTTAATCAAGCACATGAATAATAAATTAAAGTGTATGACATGACAGAAAATTTATTGTGGTTCACTCTTAGCATAAGAGCTATATTTTCGATTCCAATAAGGATATTATCCTTGAGTTGAGAGTAGTTCCCCTTTTTTGTATGAAGTTGATTTTCCATTTAAATATACTCTCTTGAATTAGGATTATGTCCACTTGGACGAATACGATCTGGACGTAATCCTTCTAGAGTATTTAGCCTTCCGGTTATTTTGGAATCAATTCTAGTTTTCTTCGTGAATTCCACTCGATTCTTGATGGTGGTTTTCAAATCATTTTGTATTTATTTAGGGTTCTGATTAGTCGGTTCTGTTAACAAATTTGGATTCAATTTGACATATACTGTTAGAAGATTAAGGTACGAAATCTATCCGTAACAAGTTCATAAAATGGCTTGATTTGTGATTTTAGAAAACATAATATGTTATTGGTACATTTTGATATTTCTTTGCTTATTTTCAATATGAAAGTTAGCAAATTAAAACTCAATATATGCTCAACATATAAGGGAAAATTTGGTGGAGGGCTGGTTTTGGCCATCCTTTATAATTATTGGCCAAACTTTTTTTCTTTTTAACTAAATGGTTTTTCTTTTTTTCTTTTACGATTAACTTTCATCTACATCACTTTTACAAGATTATGAATTTAATGCCAAGAAAAAAAAAAAGACTAGGGATCAATTGCAACATGTGAAAAAGGTAGGGAACAATTCAAGAAGAAAACTCCTTTTTCCCCTTTGAGACTATTAACACCTGAAATTTTGAAACTCCATACTATATAGCCAATAGAAGAGTTTAATCCGCGATGAACGATGCGGACAAGCAAACATGTAAGAAAACTATGCTTTACAAACGACATGACCCGTGAAAAACGACACCCATAATGATGTCCATTTTATGTGGATTTTCCTTGCCTTTCCGTTACTTAAAACTGCCATAACGGCTCATTTTCCGCCGCAGGAATAAGATATGGCGTCAATGCTGAGAAAAACGACAATGGCGAGAGGCAGAGACGAAGTGTATGTAGCAGCGGTGCCTCTGAGAGCAACAAAGGGGCCTGCCCAGCTGCTTATGTCCGCTGCTTACTCACTCAATCTTTGGGATTTCCAACATTTCATGGTTATTATTAAACCCCACTCACCACCACCACAATTTCAGGTTTCCCTTCCATTCAAAACTCTTCTTGGGTTCCTAAGATATTTCTTTAATGTTTTTTATGGAGATTATCGGTGTATTTTTTCTTTTGGTTAATTTCTCTTGGTCTGTTTTTACCTGGGTCTTTGGCTTATTCTCGTCTTCTTTGCTTCAATAGTCACCCGGCTCGTACATTTCTTTTCTGGGACACTGAAATAGTATAGCTCCTTACTAGTTCATATTAATTCTGAAATGGGTTGTTGTATATTCGTTTTGTTTAATTTGTACGTTCTTTTTCTTAATTTGGGTGTGGGACTTGGGAGATTTGAACTCTACACTAATGTAGCAACTATGGAATTACCATTAAACTAGACCTGTAATAGCTTTTCAAGTACTGTTTTAGTGCCCTGTTTCACTAAAGTCCATTTTTAGGTATCCACGCTAGTCGTATTCTTGCAAATTGAATACTTAGTGCCTGATTGTTATATACTTAAACTTAATTGTTGATTTTACTATAATATTTTTTTCTCATAAAAAAACCTGTTTCACTAAAGTCCATTTTTAGGTATCCACGCTAGTCGTATTCTTGCAAATTGAATACTTAGTGCCTGATTGTCATATACTTAAACTTAATTGTTGATTTTACTATAATATTTTTTTCTCATAAAAAATTTGAATTTCAAATGTCAGAATCAAGAATCATAGTTTAAGTATACATTCTAAACGGAGCCTTAGGGAGCTCTGATTATAGTTGTTCTGCATAGAACGTTTCATGACTGTCATCCCTTACAAGTATTAATATTTCATAATAAATGTTATGTTGGGCACACTGATTGAATGTATTTACCTAGTTACTTTTTATCTTTTTACTTCCCTATCTTGCGAGTCTCAATGTTTTTGTTTCGTGTAAGTAATTACTTTCTAACCCAATTTAAAAGGTCCAAACCAAGCAACCCAACCTAACCCGATGGAAACCAACCCACCCCGAGAACCACGGTTTGTTTCGGGATTTAATGTTTGTTGGGTTTAGTTTTTCTCAAACCGATGTCTTTGGGTTGGGTTAAAAAATAAGTCAGTCTAAACCGCTCAACCCAACTCATGTACAGACCTATCTACAATGATTAAATTATTTTTAAACGGTTAAGAATTGATGAGATACTACTACCCAAAGGTTTAAAGTGAGAGATGACTATCACGTCCTATATATAGGTTGACACAAAACCCTAAGTGATTGGCTTCCAAAGTTTAGGAGAATAATGCAAGTGTGCCTAACCATGGGTATCTACTCTGTTCCTGACCATGGCAATTCTTTATGATATTTGTCTCAAGATAAACTTTCTTTCACTCGCTTTAACTGTCAACCACTTATATTCTACTAAACCTATGAGATTTTATTGGTTATTCTGTGATAAAAGTTAATGTAAACATATGCCAGACAAGGTATCTCTGATGTGTGTAGAATTCTGCTTGTTATTTCAATGTGAACCTAAAATACTCTCTTTGAATCTCCTTTGCAGGCCTTGGTTTATGATTTTCAACCAAAAGATCCTGAAAGTGTATACGTAGCTCTTGAAGCTTTATCTGGTAGACCAGTATCAGGTTAGGCTATAGACTATTTGAAACTTTATTTGGTGCAAATTATAACTAAATTCTTTATTGTTAAAAAGAGAATGTACAACCATGAGGAAATAGCCTAGTGCTGTTTGAGAAATATGGTCAAGTAATCATTTCAACTCTAATGAGATTGTATGAGAAGGATACTGATGAATATTGTTTCCAGGACTTATCAGAAATAATCACTACATGACATGGTAAGAGAATGAATAATTCATTCGTATAATATGAACGTTTTATTACAATGTAAAATTCATTTGTTATATTGAGGTAATTTTTTTCTCGTTCATATCGTAAAATTTATGTTTGTTTACTGGTTTACTTACTTGCCTCTTTCTGTTGTAGGAGTTGTTCTTACTAGGACGTTATCTAAATTGCCAAAAAACAAATGCTGGTTTGTCGGACCTTCTAAAGAGAATGCTGCAGATAAAGCATGTGAATTCAACAAAAATTGGGAAATGAATTTGCGAGTTGGCAAGCATGACTGTCGCGATTATACCAATGGTAAGAACTTCCTGTCTCTCTGGTTGATGATTCGTATGAGCATAAATTGTCTTCTGAGGCTAATCTTCCTGGTAGGCAGAAACTAGTATTCTAAAACCAGGGCCTCAGTTAGTTGTGTTTCAAAAGAATCGGAGTTATGCTTGTATGAGAACTAAATGGTAGTGTCTGCCAATGATTTTCATAACTTAATGAAATTGACTGAAGACTTCAATTCAAAGTTTCCCTCTCTCTCTCTCTCTCTCTCTCTCTTCCTATCATGTTTAACGCTTTCTTTTCTCACTTTGAAGGACTGGTTGAGTTCCTAACTGGAGAAAAATATGTGTTGGAGCACCTGCGAAAAAGCAATGGTACTCAGGGGTAACACATGATCAATATATCAGCTGCTAATTGGTTACAAACAATGCTGTTATGTCTTGTGTCTTCAAACTAGGAATAATATCAATAAATCAAATTTCAGTAAACCAAATACTCACATGCTGGATTAAGAGAGGGAAAAAGGATAGAAAATTTCGTTGGCTTATTAAATGTATTCCATTTCTTAGATATGGGGTAGAGCACTATATGTCTTTTACTTCTTGCTTACATTCCTACACTAGCATGAGCCAAGAATTGCTTGAAACATGAAGGGACTAGATCTAATTTTCTGCACTGGCTCTGGACAACACACAAAAGTAGAACATAGAAGAACTTGGATCAACATACATTCCAATCTGATCACCAACCTTGAGTCTTCTCCTAACAACAAAATGTGTCACCCAACCAAGCTTAAACCCGAAGACACTTCCACGTCTGACCTTCCTAAAGGAAAGTTCGTGCCGACTCCCGGTGTCCAAATCAACCATCTTGACCCTCAAATCTTCTCCTTCCCTTGCCTTCTCGACCTTGTCACTGCCAATGCTGCACAGAACATGTTCTGCCTCCGCTCTTGTGAACTTGAACATTCTGTTCAACGCGACGTCTGGCTCAGCTAGGACCTTCCTGATCTTCCATTGGCTCAAATCGGTTTGAGGTCCAACGGCAGGGATTTGCACTTTGTTTCCCTCCTGAAAAGCGGCATTTCTAGTTCTCATGGGCATTCGAGAAAACATGTTATGAGGTTTATTTTGAGGTTGTTTACAAGGTTTTTATAGAACCAGAACCTTTGAACCAAGTATTTGTTGGCAATGTATTAAATGTTTGCTTATTCATTCCTATTACCTATTAAAGAAATGCACTTTTACAAGGTGTTTACTTATTCCAATGCATTTTAAAATTTAACCTTCTTAAAGCGTTTGTTATGATATTTTGCTTGAAACTAGGAGGTCATTTACTTTTTGTTTTTTTTTTTGGAGGATTCAATTAATATTAAGATTAATATTATAGTAGTATTATTTTCGTTCTTTAAACTTATTTTCTTTATTGGTTCTGCCGGCGCCGGCCCGCCGGGGAATCAAGGTTGGCATCCTAAATAAGATTTTGCGCAGAAAGGTAATTATAATTTCTTTATTGATAATAGCAAACTATGTCTCTCGTCTATACTAGAAAATACTTATAAGACCAAATGTCATTTGGGTAATAATTATTTCTACGGAACAATAATCTGGTCTTGTCTCCTTTTGATCTTAGCAACAACTTAAACGTCGAAGAGATCATGTTGGCTAGATAAACATAAAACTTTTGACGGATGGATGGTCACACTAATCGGAGGGGAGAGAAATTGACATGTTTGCACTAATTGAGGTCCTGTTTACTTCACCGATTTGAGTTTAGAATTTAAATTTTGTTACAGTCTAAAGCTCTCATAAACAGTTACATCTAATTTTTTTATTATAGTGTAAAACTCTCACATAAAGTCACATATTTATTCGAATTAAAAACTCGAATCAGCGAGAACTAAACAGACATCTTAACTCGAATTAATTAACTTGCCAAATATTTGAGGATTTCTTTTTAAGGGAACCAGCAAAGTTTTTTTAAATATATATTTAATTAGTTAAACATTACTCTATAAAAAGTATGTAGGATTTTTACGTTACATTGCATTTCTTCTTGTAGCAGGGGAAAAAAAAAGAGAAACAAATGGATTTGGAAAAAAAACTTTTTTTTTTTTTTTTTTTGAAGGAAAAGAAGAACTTTCAAAGGGACGTACAAACAAATTAAACGATTATCAGAAAAATAAAAAAAAGGAAATTACATTTTGAATTCAATGTGGATCACTAGCAAAAATATTCTTTGGTATTTTCCAAAATAAATCAGAAACTTGGCTGGTGTTCAAAGACATAAGCCGTAGCACAAAAGTGATAATGGGATCTTTATCGTGAACACTTTTGTACAAAGCCTTATTTTCCGTGAATTGGCACTTGGCTCTACAAGTGTTCTGCTTCTTCTTCATCATCTTTTGAGGATTAAAATACTTTATATTGTGCTCTACTCTTATCATTTGACTAATCATCTGATTCTCTAACAGAAGCAACCGGTCCGGTCAAAAAGCTGGTAAAATGAGTTCCCTTTGCCGATTAAATTCTCAGGAAAGAGAAATCTTTTCTTCACAAACCAATTGAAAAATCATCTAGATAATCACAAGGAGAATATAAGTATGTCCTCTAATTTTGAGCATATTAGAACTGTAAAAACCAATGACTTTGCAGTGGTAACCGTTCTATTAGGTTGGCTTGGATCCTTAATCCAACGTTGGGCTTATATGTGAATAATTATGTGTTGCGGGCTGTCATATAAAGTTAAGCCTAATTAAAAGTGATCTAATAAGGTTTAGGTATTTTGGGCTTTAATGTATCTAATAGGGCGTGGGCCTTTAATGTGTAGAGACTTAATGATAATTTTTATTTTTATGATGGGTTAAAATAGAAATACCAAAAGATAACAGGGAAGTTATTAATATATGGCAGTTATGGTCCCCAGATCACACGCATCATTTCATTCATTCTGACATCCCATCATCAGAAAGAGTACAGAGAGAAAGTTAAAGGGTTCTCTAGGAAAACGTGTTGATCTAGAAGACAAACTGTACGACTCTAGAGAGAAATCAAGCAATATGGATTCAGGTACGTTTTCGCTTACAGATTTATTGATTCTTGATGATCTAACATGAATGTTCTTGACTTTTGGGTGATAGTTTTCACTAAATCATTGATTTCTAACATGGCTAAGAGAGGTTTTGAATGAACAATGTGTCATTACTTTACAATCAAAGCTGGCCTCTAGAGAAGAGCAACTACTCTAGACAAAATCATGAGAATTATGATTAGAGAAATATCAGCATCACTCTTTTTATTAGTCTCTATACTTATTGTTTGATACGTAGATTTCATTATCTTAGTTTTTGTTTAAATATTAATATATCATAATAGTGGAGTCAACGTGTCAAATAATGAATATAAAAGGTAACAAAGAAAGTTATAGAAAGAAAGAACGATGTTAGTATTTATCGAGTGATTATCTAATTAGACTGTTGTCTACTATTGCTATAGACATCTGAAATAGGACAATTATAACACTTGGCTAAAAAAAAAAAAAAATCCAAATATTTCACACTTATAAAAAATTCCAACATTACGCAAATCTTCCAAAGGCAGATCCAAATAAATGGTAGCAAAGTACACAGCAATTACAGCCACTTAAGGGACGATGAATGTGAAGGATAAAGAGATTATAAAAATTAAAAATAGAGGAACAATCGTTAATGCAGAGGAGGAGAGAGAGTTGAAAAGGTCAATTGATATTTAATTATTCATTTATTAAATTGCCCTTTTTTACCATTTGCTAATAGTTTTTTAGGGTAAAACAACGTTTTTATGTAAGCTTTGCGCTAATGAATTTCTCAAATCTTTTCGGGCCTAGGCCGTTCTCGATTTCTCTCCCGACAGTTCTCTCGTCCCTCCAACCCAAAGGATAATGCCTCTCCCTCCTTGAGGGGACTTTCTTTTTTTGGGGGGGGTTTAATAGGGGACAATTTATTTACTTATGTTGAGTGAAAACCAATAGTGGGAAATGGTTGCAATTTTTGTACAGTTACCCTTTTCTACTCTGGTTTTGTGGGACAAGAAATCTGCACACCCTTTTCTACCCTGGTTTTGTGGGACAAGAAATCTGCACTCACATGTGCTAAGTGCTCCATTACTTGCAAGTACAAAGACCCCTTTATTGGACCTGAATTTTCTATACCCAAAACTTGCAATGCAGCCTAAAAAAAACCTATTTATAGCGGCTACACTAGAATAAGTATAAGAAACCAAAATGGGTCAGTCCAATAATTGAAAGCTATTTTGAATTCCCTTGACCCTAGCACACTTAAAATAACCATGTGCCATCAAGATTTGAACAAATTTCATGTGGGAAAAGAGCAAAAATTTGGAACCAGTATTAGTAAGATTTTCATGTGGGCAAAGATTTTGGAGTTGAATTCTAATTTTACAAAATGGATGGAATAAAAATAGTAAGAGCAATAATATAGTAATCATGGATCAATATAAGAATTTTCTACTAAGAAGAAGAAAGAAACTATGGACATGTAATACAATGTGGAACATTACTCTGGCATGCAATACATGTTAGTGAGATGTGACATTTGACATGGGCTTATATTGCTGCAAATCGGATAATTCTCAAGTAGTATTAACCACAAATTTTTTTTTTTTTTTTGGTAGAAGCAAAACATTGCAGAAAACTGAAAATCTTTCATTTAAACTCTATTAAATGTCATTTATAGAGTTTCACAATCATACACCGCCACAAAAAGGAAAAACAGTATGTAAACCTAACTATTATAAAAGAGCAATGTTCCAATGAACAAAATCGCCAACTAATATTGCATACAGATTTTCATCCTAAAAAAAAAAAAAGAAAAAAAAAACTGCATAAAGATTTAAAAAAAAAAAAAAAAAAGTGAAATCATTTCATGCTTATTTCACATACCAATGAGGGTATCAATCTGATTGAGGCTGCCCACATGAACAACCGTTTGGAACCAATTAGGCATTCCTTGGAACATAAGATCCTTGAACTTTCTAGTATTGGGATTATGAAGAACTAAAGCTCTACTTTTTTCCTTGTACTCCAACAGAATCTCCCCACTCCTTAAAACACACAAAACTCTCACTGATTTTCCTCTCACTTTGGACACACAAAAGGATGGTTGAATAACTTCTTGTTTGATAGCCTTTGGTGTGTAATTTGCAATGACAAATTCCTTGACCCATGATTCCTTAACACCATACTCTTTCATAACCCAAATCTCAAGCTTCCCATTGCTGAAACCGAATGCTGCTGAGAGACATCCTCTCATGACAAAGAGATGGTACTCACACCTCCTCAAGCCCACAACATCCGGCCTCGGCACCTCCCGGAACTTCTCATCACCGAGGTCGAACGACACGACATTCCTCCCCGTGCGGTGCCTCCGCGGCCCGGTCACCCAATGAAGTCTCCCATGGACTAAGACCTGCGCTGTTGGCCACTTGTGAAGATCATGCGACACTTTTCCCAAACTTCTCCATCTTGAGCTTCCCAAAGTGAATACTTGAACTTCTGATGATGAAATTCGAAACCGATTCCTTAACCCTCTATATCCATTCTCGTAGTAGATGATCTTAACAACTTTATATTCCTTTGTCCTCGGATGAAACCCGAATCCAAACACTACCTCTCGGTTCTGAAACTGATTAGTCTTGGGAAGTTCTCTGTAGTCTCTTGTGAAAGGATTGTAAACATAAAGTCCCTCATTATACAATGAATCAGACAAGCAAAGCAAGCCATTACATGATCCGATGACATCGAATTCCGGCATCGAGGAACAGAAAGGTGTCTGAATCCTCTTCACTGCCTGTTTCTCATCATCCCTATCAGCTTGGAAATCAACAAAGTAGAGCTGGTTTCTTATGGGAAAATCACAGTGAAAGACGAGACATGGATTTTCCTCTTCTGTTCTTGAGTTGTACAAGTCAACAAGGCTAGGATCTTGTGTTAGAACACGCCAAGCTCTGCAGACATACTTGAATTGCACCAGAGACGATATCGGAAGCTTCGAGAGTATGTCGAACACGATTTCTCGAGGAAGTGTTTCGATCCTGCTTGTGGACTGATTATCATCTTCTTGCTTGCTTTTGATTCTTTTGCTTTGTATTTCACAATCTGAGTCCATAACTACGGAGATGATTGGTGTTGTTTACAGCATAGAAGAAGACCAAGAAGAAGAAGAAGAGGAAGAAGGTAAAGGTAAAGGAATAACAAGGCTTAAAAGATTGAGAGAAGACTAGAAGATTAGCATTTTTATTCAAAGGAGACGGAAGCTGCAAGGATATAGTGTTGGGTGGGATCCACGATTGAATAAGTCTCTAGTAGAGAAAAAGAAGAGTTGGTTTTTATCTCATTCATGTGTAGAGGAAAATACACTTCATCTATGCAAGCAATCTGGACCGCTTGATTGATGATGAATGGCCATGATTTGCATCAGAATTTAAAAGTAGGGTGAATATAGTCTCCCATCAATGAGCTAATGGCCTTAATGATGGTGACTCAGCAACAAACAAAGTCTTGCATAAGAACAAAATACACACCCTCTTTTGTACTACTTTGGTGATTCATCTACTTCTCTCTTTCTTTTCTTTTCTTTTTTTTTTATACTTTTAATTTTTTTAATTTTTTTTATTCAACCAAAGAATAGTGTTGTAGAGAGAAGCCAAAACTTTATGCACTATTGTAAAGAGGTGGTGCTTCCTTATACACATATATATATATATATATATATTTGTTTTGTTATCACATTAAGATAAGAGTAATTGCCTTGTAAATATCTAGACAAGTGATTGGTTAATCTTGTGGTTGGGTAAGCTTGATGAAAATCTTCTAGAACTTGCCCATAAAATTTAAAACAGATCAAAAGATATATGGTTTAAAAAAGTTAAAACTACAGATGACAATGTGCTTTTTTTTTTTTTTTTTTTAAAATACAAATACAATGTATAAAGAGGGCAAACATGATCAACAAATGACAAAACTTTGAAAGGCTTTTTTTTTTTTTTTGGTCATGGCCAGACACCTAGAAAGAAGAGCCCTTGAGGACTTTTATGGCACCCCACTTTAGGATATCCAATAAAACTTTAGCTACAAGAGCCTATCTTTTAGGTTTTTGGACATTTGGGGGTGCCAAAGTAATCTGATTAAAAGAATAATGCTGTTAGGAATTGTGAATAGCTCTTTTAGAAAATGATCCAATTAATGTGTTTTAAAGTCAAACTTTTGAAAATCAAGCATGTGGATAACAATAAAAAGAGAAGCCACTAATGACCATCTCACCCCCTTTTCCCTTTTCATAATTATTAAATGGCTCCTTTAACCTCTTAAAAAATCAGTAATTGGAATTCTGGCTAGAACTGTTGAAATAAATAACATGTATCTACCTTATTTGACCAACTACAGCCACTCTTTACCATTTTTTCCATACTTTTATTACATTTTCCCATATAACAAAAGAAAAGGAAAGAAACAAAGAAATTTTGTCCATGTAATTTAGACCCATTAGGGTATACATTATCTATTTCATTTATATAATCTTGTACAAGTAGTGCTCTGTAAATAAAGCACTATTTACAAGCATACAGAAAGTACATACCTATGTCACGTTTTCTTTTAATTATTTATTCCATAATTTAACCAAAGATAATGGCTGACATCGCACTTGCATTTACATTTCCATTCTTGCTTTATACTTTCTTTTCTTCTCTCTCTTTTTTTTTTTGTTTTCTGTTTTTTAATTATTTTAAAGACAAGGCAATATCTTATTTTTCTTTTTCTAGTCTTTGGATTTTCACATAGAGTTCGTTTTGAAATTTCTGATTTCAGGACCAGAACTTAAAGAAACAAAATTCTGTTCTCAAGTTGTTAATGGTTTGCATACACCAATGATTAGACAAAGCCTGGATCTTGGAAACACAATAATAGTATAGAACAAGAATCACATTGTGTGGTATCTCCAAGGCAAGTTCTCCATAAGCAACGCAAAATGGTATATGCTTATGCTTTTCATTTTCATTTTCATTTTCATTTGATTTTCACCATATTTTATGTTAAAAAAACAAGCACAACTGGTGGAGAATTTATAACATAGACAATTACAAAATTTACGTTCCAAAATAATTTTATTTTTTGTATGAAAATAAAAATAAAAATGTTTTCAATTTCACATAAAAATTATTTTTAAAAATGTGTTTGATAATTTTATCAAGAGATTATTGTCAGTGTAAAAAAACCCATTAATGTCTCTCTTTCTCTCTCTCTGCTTGAGAGAGGAGAAAACGAAAAATGACTAAAAGTCGTTTTTCATTTCTCTATCATTTTACACTAAACTAAAAAATTGTTTTTATTTTCGTTTTTTGTCTTTATTGCGCCAAACGCCGTTTTAAAAATATTTTTATTTTTTCTTTCTTGAAAAATGTGAAAAATAAAAACGGAATTAATTCCAAATACAGCCCATACTTTATCATAATATTATTACATAATCCTTCAGTAAGATATAAAAAATACTATGTCGGAAGAATATAATTTTAACGGTTGGATTTTTATCAAATTTTGTTAAATTATGATACTTTATTAATCTGATTTAATTTGATATTTAAAATTAAAACCTGAATCTTTTAGGAGGGTTAAAAACTCTCTTTCACAGATAAGAATAAATTTTTTTATATTCTATCTTAAAATTCTCCGACCTATAAAGTGAAATAAGAATTTCTCCTTTCTTTCTTTTATGGGCTTTGGTTGTTTCAGATGAATTAGGGTTTGCTTAACATATACGCAATGCTTGCGAGTGCAAGTTGCAATCCCCATTTTGATTGACAGATGAGTGGATTCCTCCCAACCATTGTGGCTTATTCCGTTTCTTCTGAGAAGTAAGAAATGAATGTTAAGAATTTCTGGAGAAACTAGCCTTGCAAGTCTTAATTAATAGCACCAATCTTTATGAACGACAATTGGTTTGAAGCTTCTGAAGCAGAGAATCTGAACCAGAGGATCAAATTTCAACCGTAACTGGCTGAATTTCTCGGAACACGCCAAACTTTATTCATTTTGATAATATATACATTAGGATGATCAACCACTAAATATAATAATTTGACGACGTGATAAAAATTTAATTTTATTAATTATAAAATTTTTTTTTAATTAATTATTTAATTTATTATAAAATAAATATCTCATAAATAATGATACCCAGTAATAAATAAATATTAAAATAATAATTAAAACTACAACCATTATATATATATATATATATGTGACATCTTACTTTCATCACCCACAACAAAAGAAATTTGGCCATTTATTACGTCTAAAGTTACACATCCGAACCACATGCTAAAAGATGAATTCATCTCAGAGTAGTTATATTTGCACATGAAAAATTTATTAATACCCAATCAATTAATAATCCTCTAATAAAAATTTAAAAAATCAATACTTATATATATATAATTTTCATAATACTTAATTTAACCCTCTCATACCTCAACATAATTTTAATCTTAATTTGATTTATAAAATAATATCTTTCAATTATATTTACCTTTTATTAAAAAAATTCCATTTACTTTTATTTATTAGAGAATACATAAATATACTACATATCTATGTAGTGAATAATAAATCATTCAGTAAATTGGGTATATCCCATAATCTTACTTAATCAGTCTAATAAGTTTTTGACATTTGAATGATTTATTTATGCCAATTCATTTAATCAAATTTCTCTCTCCTAATATACACTGCACATAAGGCTTTTGTACAGTGCTTCAAGAAGAGGGCAGCCACAACTATATTAAAAAGAGCCAAAGACTTTTTTATAGTGCTCTAAGGAGGAGGCATCGACACGCCAACACCTATATTAAAAAGAGCCAAAGGCCCTCTCTCTCTCTCTCTTTTTTTTCCCCTTTATTGATATTTTTTTAAAAAATCTTTCTCTCTTTTTATTTCCTAAATACCTTGTTTTTAAATTTTTTATTCATGAATATTTTTTTGCAGGTTAATTTTTTACGTTTGTGATTTTTTTTTTTAAATATTTCCCTCCTTTTACTCTTATGAAAGCGATTTCTTTCACGCGTTCCTATTTACTTTTTGTCAATTGTTGAAATAATTTTTTTTTAAATGTGTCCCTATCTAATTATTTTTCTCGTAAAATTCTTATCATATTAAAAATTATCTTTACACATATTTTTTTTTATAATGCTCTCAAAGAGCATTTCTCAGACCGCCACATGATAGCTCTGTCTTTTTTTCTTACTTTTTCTATCTTTATTTTTTTTTAATTTTTCAAATATTTTGTTCTTTATTTTTTGATTTGATGAATATTTTTTATAGTCTAATTTTTTATGTGTGTTTTGCTTTTTCTAATATTCTTTTAGTTTTTATGTTTTCTTATTAATTTAACAAGGTTTTTTATAATAATCTTTTAACGACTATCAATAGATTCAATCTAACAATTAACATCCACCTATATTAAAAAGAGCCAAAGGCTAAAGTTGATTTTTTGTACGAATATGTCCCTACTTGATCTTTTTTTTTTTTTTTTTTTTTTTTTTTTTTTTTTTTTGTAAAAACACCTATATAACTTTAATTTTTTTTCTCTTTTTTAACTTTTTTTTAACCTTTTTCTTAGCTTTTCTTTTATTTTTTCTTCTTTTCTCTTACTTATTGTCTTTCTTTTTATTTTGTTTTTTTTCTCTCTTAATGTTCATTGACAATTAATTATTTTTCAATATCTTTCTTCGAAATATTTTTTTCCTCCTCATTTTCTTTTAATTAAAATTATTCCTTTCAAATGTCTCCCTACTTAAGGTTTTTTTTTTTTTTTTTAAAACTCCTACATAACTTTAATTCCTTTTCGATAGGATTTTTTAAAATATTTTTTTCCTCATACTTCAATTAATGAACGTAACTTCTAAGGTGGCTATATGTTACAAAGTTATTTACAAAGTTATTCTCCATGTACATAACAAGTAGCTCAACTAATTGTTTACAAAGTCCTAATTGCCATAAATGTTGACTTTATAAGTTTCAAACAATAATATTTATGTTTAAATAAAAAATAATTTTCAACGGTACGTACGTTCATTTTGCAAACTTGGAGAAAAAAAGTCAGTTATATTTGAAAGAAATTAACAAAACTAAAAATCATCATGGGAGAAGTAAAAAGATGTGTAAAGAATTTGATCCAAACTAGTATATACAAGCTGATTTCATATTTGAATGAAAGCTAATCTAAGAGAATTAATTCCAACAG